ATTTTTTTCTTATCATTAAGTCTCCTCAATTTTAAGAAGTCAGGAGTGTTTCACTGAACCAATCACTATTGTACATTTCTGCACAGAAACACAGTGCAAGAGTAATTTTCATTCATTAGGACCATTGAGACCTGCCTGATGTTCTAACGGAGGTCTGCTAAATGACCAGGGTGGAGGGTAACTGGTTGTACCACAGACATGTATTATATCTTGCATTAATTAGTCATTCTGGGCAGAAAGTGACTGTGCCAGTCTGAAAGCATGTCACCTTGCCAACTGGCTTTACATCTGTTAAGTTCATTTTAGTTCACCGTGGTCCTGTTCATTACTATTCAATTTGAATTAAAGGCAAACAAAGTTGTTTTAATATAAGGATCGTGAAGGAATGGTTACTCAACATATCTGGAGTTGAGTAGGAGGAGGTCTACTTATAGGGTGTGTTTTTTTCTGATTCTCCTAACCCAGTACGGGTACAGACACAATCACACTGAATCCTTCATACAATTATTTCTCCTCTATTAAAAACTAGAAAGCTTTAAGAGCAACGCTGGACAAATCACTGAAAACCAGGCGCTCAAAGGCCTCCATTATAAAGGGCAATGTCTATTGTCATTCAGATATCTTGGGTTAGATTTTTCCTCAAAACAGCAGACTTACATAAAACATGCTGGAGGATGTAGCAGTGGGAAAATGATGACGCAACTCTTGGAGATATACAAGTATGGCTACTGTGAGAAACAAACTTTTCTTTGTCCAAAAAGGTTGTTAATCTGCCCCCCTGAAGTACTGTATGTGTAAAGCAATTGTTCAACTTTCACAATGTTTTATGGTCTACTGCTTTGTTGTATAATGTTGTTTTTGAAAAATATGATTCCATCAGTTAACATGTGAGCCTTGGAAAAAACATTGAATTTGATGTTATTAAAAGAGTTGGGTAAGTCAGACTTTTGTAGTTTCATTTATTTATCTTTTAAACATCTCCCATGACATGAAAATAATTCCACAAACTGTTCGGAATTACACGGTACAATCTAAAAACTAGTTTTGGGTTTATTTACAGTAGGAGTATGCTAATACAAACAAACGCAAACAAATCTCATGCACTTATAATACAATGTATAAAATAATGAGAAGCTCTGCTGATTAAGCTGCGGGCTCCCCCACTCCTATTCATTTAACCAGTAAGTGGGCCTCACTAGCCCCTCTCTGAATAAAGTGATTCAGTGCGGCTGGCTGAGCAGTCAAAGCAGAGAGCCAGCGAAGCACCTGGCCTTACACCGCTATCTGATTAGAGGAGGTTGCAGGCCAGGCTGAACCAGACCAAGCCAGGCAGTGGCAGATCTAGAGCAAAATGAACTAAAACAGGCTAATTCTATTGCACCATGGCCTCCCTTAGAGGCTTAGCAGCAGGTTCAAATCAAAGCAATTCTATAACACAGAGCAACATTATCAACAAGCAGTGAGGAGGGCAATGTAGAAACTATAGCTTCACTGGTTCAGAAGAGCTGAGTGGTGTTCTCTGAAGCATGTATTTCATGATTAAGCTTTTATTATCTGCGGTGTCCCTGAGCTCACAAATTGGCGTATGAAAAAAATAGACCTGACATTTTTCCTCAGCTTAAAATGGCATGAATGTTGAGAGTGACATAGCTTAGTGAAGGCATTAGGGACAGTTCAGCACACACAAAAATACAAATTATTAAAGGTTTTGGAATATGTTTTCTTTTCATTTTCTATATGAAAATATGATTTGCAGAATATCGAAACACAATGGATCATATTTACTATCCTTCTTTCCTATGCAAGATACTGTATGATACTGTCAGACTGCAGTAGCTAAATGCAGACTACACTATGGCTTACACTTTTAGACGAGGCATGACACATTTTGATATTTACAATTACGTTAAAGTAACGTTAGTCAAGGTTGATATATTTTTATGTCAACATGCTTGAGAATTCCAATTTAAGGGAGATGAACACAATCAATACTTTACTTGAATGAAACCCAATTAGCAGTTCCTACCACGAACATATTTTATTTAATACGAAAATCCAAGGAGAGGATAAACTTTTGCAGCTTCAAGGCCTGCGAGTCAGGAAAAGTAGATATTCGGTTTACTGTAGAGTTCCACTGGAAAGCACCAGGCTAAATCATGATTTGGTGATTGGCCCATCACTGTCATTATTAATTTAAAGTTAGGATATCTATAAGGGGAAAAAAATCTCTACAGAGGCAGCTTAAAACAGTGTAGAGAGAAAGGGGTTGTTATTAGTGTTCTTCCTATGGGGCTGCTTCATGACAGTGTCAGTTCCATTAGCCCATTTGTGTTCAGTTTGGGAAACATTGTTGACCATTTGAGGGCAAAGTTTACACATAGTGCATTGTAAGTGCAATACGGGAGAGTCTAGGCTGGAGTAATGCAGGAGTAGTCCCAGCATGCATGTCCTAGGTGTTATTTAAGCTGTAACCCTAACCTAAATGATTTATACAACCACATCATATTTATTAAATTATTTAATGTATTTGTTGTTTCTTTGGAGTTGTTTCTTTTTGTTGTTCCGTTGTATGAAGATTAACACTTGCACAATGCAGCTACATTTTCACAATATATTTATTTATCACTATATTTGTATTAAATATGAACCAACCAATCAAGGACCAGCTAGTATCATTGTATATAAACAATGTACTTTAGGTTCATCAAATCTATCCTGAACTGGTGAGCTCAATAACGAAAAAGGTTACGATAAAATTGATCTTTCATGTACTGCTCAACACAACAGATGCTTTACTTACACAAAATGATCCTATATTATAATAAATTATGAATATAGTGATATATATGATCGAACAAGAACGCAGGGAAAGTTGTATGTACTCAAGGGAAACACCATCTGTTTCACCTTTAAACTGCTGAAGTAAAAAGCTAACAGAGGTGTGTGTGTGTTTACAGAGGCCACCTGTCTCTAAAAGGTAGACCATGCATTCAAACTTAACTGTCTGACATTGTCTCATTTTCCACCTATTCAGCTTCTACCTCTGCTCCCGCTCATGCCTGGCCACACCCTGTTACACAACAGCTGAGTGGCTGTGCATGAACAGTGTTGTTGTACAGTGGGCTAGGTGGGTGAAGTATTTGTTCTTGTGTTAACAGTTCAGTGGCTTTTTCTTCTTCCCCTCATACAGGATTCAGGAATTGTCAAAAGGAATAACTGCACACTGAACTTTTGGAGAAAAGATCACCAGGAATGTACCAAATCTATAATTTAACTAATCATTTGGCTTAGTAGCCTACGAAAAAGCAGGTAACATGTAGCTTTCAAACACTGTCACTGATGAATTACCACTGTTACATCTGAGCAGCTGGACTTTTACATACTGCGGCAATCATCTTTTGGGAAAAAATAGGGATTTCTCATTAGAGACGTCCTAGATACAGCTGCCTTCCAGTGATTAATAGTTGTATAGGGAACAGCCAACACCCAGGGCCATAGAGAAAGTGATACAACTGCTGACACCTGATTTGAGTGGATGATGCTCAGCTGCAGCATGAAGCACTCTCAATAGATGAGTGAATAAAAAGACACAATAAAAAATGCATTGAAATACAATCCAGTATATATAAAAAAAGATTTAAATCATACACCTCCCTGTTTCTGGGCTGTACGTGCACAGACAGGTGTTAAATGGTGTTGATGGATGTCCTCGCAGGGGAAGTCGTTCGTCTTCATGGATCCTTTTCTTTTGAAGGATTGCCGTCAAAACACAGGTTTCTAATGTATGACTTGTTCAGACAGGACCACAGATGTTTCTTTGACAGGGTTTTCTGTCTGTGAGTTTTTGAACTTGCTCTTGTAAATCTGGACAATTCAACCTTTGAAAATATATAACAGGTCTGTCAACAATGCTTGTTTGATTGACTTTAAGATAGGAATAAAAATAACTTGACATAGTATTAAGATATAAGATTAAACGTGCAGTTAGTCCATGGAATGATACATTAAATATATCACTGTGATGACAAGATAGATTTATCAAGGGAGAACATACATTTCATCATGGATTTACAATTATTTAAATGTATCTGTATTCTTACAATAATACCCAGCTGGAGGCACCCTTGTGTGGCTGATATAATTTGAATGCTCCACAAAGTTTCTCCACAACCAATCTGCATGAAGGCCTGCTTTTAAAATCTCCCCTCCTCTTTACTCTTTGTATTTGCCAGATTTGTGAAGTCAGCTGCTGCCTTTAAATCCTGTAGGAAATGTTTATCCCTGCACTGAGCATTAAGGAATACATAAACCATGACACAAGTCACACTGTTTGTTTTTCTTAAAATCCACATTCCTCATTATTACGTCCTCATTACTCCACAATATGTATTAGATAACGCTAGTTAGAAAGTTATATATACTTTGCAGATTTAGATTTAAAAATACAAAATAAAAATATTCTTATAGATTTTGATAGATTTTTTGTTAAATTACATGGCAGAAGTATAAAGTCTAATGTTATTGGAATAAGCCACACCTTTAGCGGTTGCAACAGTAAAATGATTTTTTTAACAATTCATTATATGAATTGATTGATTGATTGATATTACATTAATCAGACATAAAAAATGTCCAGAAATCCAGTCAACTTTACCAGCTGTGATTGATAATAATGCATCAATAACAATCAAAACATATCATTTGTATTATTCTGAAATGGAGCAATCTGCATAATAAGTACTTTTATCTTTGCTACTTAAGTATATTTTGATGATAATACTTTGTAACAGAATATTCCTACACTCTTTTACTTTCACTTTTAGCTAAGTAAAACATATCCTTCTCCCACCACTGCCTGACAAGCACTTTGTTCTGTATCGATAACTTGTAGCAGGATCGATGTTGTAACAAGTGGGCTGTGAAGCTGTAAAATCTTAGCTTGGCGGTGCCCCTGAAGGCGTCATTCCCCGGGATGTTCAGTACCCTCCCTGTCCCTGTGCTGCTGCCCGCTGCCCGGGCTGCTGCTCGGCTGCTGGGCGCGGGATGACGCCACCTCTCGCTCCGCCACCTCTCGCTCCGCCCCGCCAGCGAGAACTCGCTCTTTGCGTTCATTTCATTCCTCTTCTCATTCCGAGCATTCTTCGCATCTCTGTCAGTGCGCGATTCACCTACACCTTCCTGGCTGGCCCAGAAACACTAGAATAACTTGACATAGTATTAAAAAAATACCCCGTAACATCCCATTTAATCAAAAAGAAGGGACAATTATATGAGATATCAATAACGAGGTAAGTTTCAATGGTAGTTGCAGGTATCCAAACTGGTTGTAGACTTCTGTGCGTGGGGTTTTTAGTTGACGTCTTTGTAAATATGGGACAATTTATTTAAAAATGTCGGCTTATTTAGGTGTTTACTATTTATCCCATGGCGTGGAGGCTGTCTTATTCCATCGCTGAGAAACATGGCCAATTCTGGTCGATGTTTGCAACAGGGTGCTGCTCACTTTGAACACTGTTGTAGCCCATGGCTTTGACATAGCAGCGAAAATCTTTGACATTTTTCACATTTTTGTAAAGAAGCCCGATCATACGCCCCTTCTAAAAGCCTCAGAGGCCGTTTTTCCTGTGTCAGATCCCCTGAAAGTCCCAGCGGGATTCGGGATGAACTAAAAAAACATACCGCACGAATAACGCTTTTTTTTTGACAAGATGACGGTTGAAAACGTTGCTGTTTTCCTCTCCGTAGTTACTTGGAGATTTCACCGGAGGATTTTCGGACCACCTCGAAGAGGAAAACCACGGCGGAGAGAGACTTGTTGCTTCAACCCGTTTTGACGGTGGTTATTAAAACCGTCATCGAAGTTTTGTGTAAGTAACGTTGCATGTTTCAATGTTTGTTTTTTACTTCTTTTAGCAGTGTGTGTGCTCCATGTTGGTGCTGCAACCAAGTGAACCGGAGGGAAAGGGCAGCTTAAAGCCCTTTTTGTTGTTCGGTGGATTAAAGCTTCTTTCGGGTTATTCTTTGTATAATTTCTGTTCAAAAACTACCGTTTAGAAATGGTGGTTAGTTGCTTCTTTTGCGTTATTTTGGTGGTTTATATTATTTTAACTGGCCTGTTTTAAGGTATAATCTTTGGTTATAGTCCAGGAGGAACATTTGCATTCGTTTAAATTGAAGAATATTTGGCCTTTCCTTCATTGTTTTCATTTTCCTTCCTCTACTTTGGGAAATGCCTGCTCAGCTAAAACCGATCTCCCCTCCAACTGTATGCCAGCTGTGTGTGCATGTGTTGTGTGTTGTGTGTTGTGTGTGTGTGTGTGTGTGTGTGTGTGTGTGTGTGTTAGACACAAGTTGTACTCCTTACAATGATTTCATCCTTTTAACTTTTTTTGTGGACTGAGGAAATTACACAGGATATTATGTAAAGGAAGACATGAGAATAAGGCCTATTTGTTTCATTAGCAACAGCAAAGTTAGCTTTCAAATTGGGACTACATCCTGTTGCACTAAACACTGAAGGATCTCCTCTGTGAGCCAACGGGCTAGACTCCTGACACTTTGCTTAATATTTGCTGCTGTAAATGGTCAGATTTGGTTTGCTTTAAACAAACAGCCCCGTCTGGCCATCTAGCCACAGTTTACACAGCTCAGATATGCTGCTGTGATTCAATCAGGGTGTCTTTGCACTGTATTAATTTAAATGAGAATTTTAAAATCTCCTAATTTATTCTCCTGTGAGCTCTCCAGTTGTGCTTTTTAACTATCCCAGTCAGCTATCTGTTTAGTCAGACTGTGGAAGTAACTTCTTTTGTAATATCATTATTTTTGTCAGCAGAAGTGACACAACTGAGTAATGGGGTTTTAAAATACCTTCACAAGCTTGAACATAAACCCCCACTACTACTACTAGTACTACTTCTACTACTACTGCTTCTACTACTACTTCTACTACTACTACTACTACTACAACAAACGTTTTTTGTCGAAGCACCTACAGCCTCCCACCCATTTTTGTTGTTGTTATGGCAAGTGTACAAGTTTCTCCCTTAAAAAAAAAAAGAAAACATGCTTTTTACAGTAACCTACTGTTGAACATTTAATGTAACGCATGAGACAAAAAGATATGTAGGAGACATTCTATTAAAATGTAGTTAACATGAAAGGGCCTTTGTGATTGCCAGAAAATAGCCTGAATGCAGTAAGACATAAGCCCACACACATGTAGTAAGTGTAAATCTGCTTGCTTGAAGAAGAAAAAAAGAAGGTAGAAATAGATTCTTTGTTTTCTGCTTATGCAGTCATTGGACTTGTTGGAAGGAATCTGCAAAGCATTTACGCAAGAATAGGATATTGTCTTTGTTTCGACGGAATAAGTATTTTCCTTGAAATTAGTTTCTACAACCCCTGCTATATAGGATACAAAGGCGATGTGTAACTTTAACACATTGCTTGTTCAGGTTTTCTGTCTTGTTTAGATCTAAGGACGGAGCTACGGAGTGTGTAGTCTATCTGTTGTGAAGTGTGCCGAATAATGTGCTTTTGTGAAACACAGAGTGGACTGAGTTTCCTCTTGGAGCAGAGTGAGACATTTCTTTTCTTCAGTTGTCTATACTGTTGAAGGTTGTCCTCTTTCAAAATAATACATTTTGCCAAACATTTGTCAAATGCCTACGCGCATATTTTAGCTTTTGATAGTCTTGTGAGCCTGGCATTAGCTGCTACATGCATTTGTCTCCTTACCAGAATTATTCAAAGCTCTTACCCTGTTTGTGCAATGATTTATCATTAAGTGCATTCTTAACATACATTATTGACAGAATATGCCAATTTCACTTTTGACAATTAGAGATATACTGAACTGACAATAAAACATTGATACTCTCAGTGACGCTCAAATCACAAAATGACACCGAAGAAAGAATTCAAACTGTCTATTCAGCTCCTAAAATGATCGCCTTTATCTTACATTTTAGATTGACCACAAATTGTTCCTGACTGTTTAATTATAGCACATTAGGAGATACAGTGTGTTTGTGTGTGAGAGAGATTTAGACCTGACTGCTGCAGAGAGGCACCTAGCCGTACTCTGTGCAACAGGTGCTTTAGAGCAGAGATGTATTAATAATCTCAGCATGGCATCTCATATAAAATGAGCATTTCAATTCAACAATTGATAGTTTAAGATGAATTATATTTGAGTCTTACCGCAGTTCTGATGCACTAAGGGTTACGGCTACATTTAAATATATAGTTTATAATAAAGCCCTAAAATGTTGAGCAATTTTTTTTTTAACTAGAAAGCAATTTCAACTTTCACCAGTTATTTTGGTTTGTTAGTGTTAGGATACACCTTTATTATTATGTTGTGATTTTTGGTTTGTGAATTGAACCTGTCTGTAGTGGTTTTTAACATGATGTTTTCAAGTCTCAAATTATATTGTAAATGTCAACTGTTAGTTCTCAGGTTTCACAGTTTTTCAAAACTACTCCCTAAGTAGTGTATGAACTGGATATTGCTGTTATAAATCAAAGTTTCACCTCACAGAAAATGCAAATACACGTTACACGGCACATTTTCTATTTGGAGTGTAATTCCTCTTGGGAATGTGAACACATTATGAGTCCCACGCTTTAATTGAAATGATAATAATACACAATATATTTTATGTTATGAAAATTCTAGGCTACATAAAGGATGTGTGATCTGTAATTGAATCTGAACACAGTGTCATTTTTAATTGATTGTGCAATTAGACATGATGTGTGGCTGGAGTAGAATCAATCGCATCAAAACATCAGTGTTCTCCACGCTCAAAGCACGCTTTAAAGAGACTCTCCTGCAGGCTTCCAGACTGTGTGTGCCCTGAGGTAAACCCTGGTCTAGAAAGGGAATTTTAGATTATGCACTGCTGCTCAGCAGTTTGAGCAGGACCCTCTGAGGCCAGCGGAGAGTGCCACCAAAAAGGAAAAGCTGGCTCAAAGCCACTGACGTCATCTAAGTAAATCTGCTCCAGTACTGTTGCCATAAAATGACTGCCAGCTACCGAATGCACTTTGGCCCTGTCAAACACCTTAGTGAGAGCAACATGGTTTTTTTTTCTTCTCCTCATGCATACTTATAGAAGACTGGTTGTGTTTAAGTCTGCCTCTATTATGCTGAAGTTGTAGCAGACTTTACCTATTCATTCAAAAGGAACAACTCATGTTTCTAATTTGACATAAAGCACCAAATGATTGAACTGCCCCAACCTTTGAAGGCTTACCACTTTAATATTACAGCCTTATAATTTGTACCATATGGCAAAGCATACTGTCTCAACCACTCATAATTGATGTGTAGTTCCATCCACTAAGAAGTTATTAAGTATCTGAGATATTTACTTTCCTACCCATTCTTATTTGGAACAAAAAGACAAATACATGAGCTGCTTCATGATCACACAAGGAGGAAAATCTATATGAACTCCATGAATCATTAGATGAGTCAGTTTCTGAAACCACTATAAACATTTTAAGTTCTTAACCACAATGAAAGCAGGAAATCTCGGCTTCAACAACTTCCTTTCCCAGTGCTTGACATAGTAGCGGTAGTGGTGTTCAGCTCTCCGCAAGTAAAAGGAAACCCATGGAACAAAGGCACACAGTCACTTCATTTACTGAAAGTGTGTGTAATTTGTGGCTTGTATTCAAATGTGGGTTATTCAGTCTCTCTGGCACCGTATTCCCAGTCGTTGCTTGTACTAAATTTCCACAAGACATTTCATCAATGGTCGCTGTATTGTTATCATGGCTGACACAGATCAGGCAGGCTCTCTCTCTGCCCTGAAGGTGCCCTGGATTCAGTGGAGGCACAGATAGACTGAGGGGAAGCTCCTCATTAATATGCAGGCTGTGCCCAGTAAATTAGTTTGGAATCAGAGCCGGGACACAGCAATGGAGAGCTGTGTTGCCCAAACTTTTTTTTTCTCCGTTTCGTCTATTTAATAGAGGGTAAGGGGAATTTTTTTAACAGCTTATTTGCTCAAATGAACATCGCTTTTTTTTAAACAAGCAAGTCGCCGATTTTCTATATCTATAAAGAGAAGTCAAAACGAAGGTGCGTCAGTCCGTCTCATAGTTCTTGTCTGTGTACATTTTTCTTACTAAAGGCTTAAAGCTTCAGCTCACAAATATACTGTAAATTGGATTTGTTCTACAGAATGTACTTTTTAAACACTGTTATTAGTATCTTCATGTTTTCTCAACTAGTCTTGGTATCTTCATATTTTTTCGACCAGTTTTGATTCTTGATAGATTATTATTCAAGAAAACGTTAACCTGTTGTTCAGTATTGGCTGAACTGAAGACCACACGTAGTGTCTTAAAATAGCCCCTCACTTCATAACCACCTGCTTTGTGTATCACCCTTGGACATTCATTTGTTTCAGTGCACATCATCCCTTACTATGACTTATGCTTTTTTGGGATAATGTCAACAAATGCCAAGTATTATAAAATGGTACATGGCTAAAAAGGTAAAAGGCAAACAGCCCATAATTACATTGAATTTTCACAACAACTTTGTGACTTTTAAGGTAAAGTGTGTGTTTTGTCCAGTCCAGAACTATATTTAATTTGGTATAGCATTAATTATACCTCAAAATATTTGTGTGTGAATAAACCCTTGAACACTCACAGTGTTCCCCGAAATAGTCACATTATACATAGGCCTAATTGGTTGTTTGTAAATTGATGAATGAATGATACTGTCAATTTCAGCTGTCTGCGCAGCGCTTCTTAACAGGCTGATGAGTCCAGTGTGAAATGTCAGAGTTGCCAATCGAAAAAACAAAGGATTGGAAAAGATTGACGCGGGAAACAGGAAAGA